ACACAGGGGCACCATAAAGTCGTTTTGGTAAATTGATGTCGGTCCCGTTTCCAGTGTCTGGTGTAGAGAATTCCTGGCTCTGTGAGTCGACCTCCACCACTTTGGCAGCGTTGTCCTTTAATGGTATTTGTGGCACATTTTTATTGATGCACTGAACTCTTCGAAGTGATTAAGTGGGGCAGCCGCACTTCTGTATGTGGGCGCCACTTGGCTCTCCCTGACAACAACGGGCGCTTCGCCTGCCCTGCCTTTCCCTTTGCTGCTGCACAGGATTAAACGAGGACCAACAAGGACTAACGCTTGGTCAGCATAAATTAATTACATTTGTGTGCATGGGACAGAGGCAGCAATGAAGTGACAGTTAAGGCGGACAATGTCAAGTGTTGAATATCATGTGCTAAGACTGTGTGTCCCTGTTCCACTTCTCTACTTTGTAGTCAACTATGCACAGCCATCAAGTGAGCTTGGGCCATAAACTTTTAAGGTTTATGCGGTTAAATTATAGTTTTTATTTTTGCACAGAGTACTTTATGGCACGTATTATTGTTTATGATATCGTAATACTTATGTATGTGCTTAAATTTTTAATAACTCGAAATATTAGCTATTTTCTTTGATGATTGTCTCTTTCATTCATTTTTTTTTTTTAACAACGCATACTCTAGTTGCGACTTGGTCTCAGATGGTATCCATCTCTTCTATCTGTATTTTCTTTTCTGTGTCTATCCCTTTTGTCGATTGTCTTCGATTCTTATTTATGCTTCTGATCTCTATTTTTCATTGAATTTCTGTCCTTCTCTCTCTCTCATTGTGTTCATTTAAATTTTTCCTTTTGTTTCTTTCTCTCGATTTCTAATTCTCTCATTCTCTCCCTGTCTTTGGTTTCTATTGATCTGTCTTTCTCTCTCTGTATCTTTTATCTCTCTCTCTCTCTTTTGATTTCTAACTCTCTCACTCTCTTTCTATCTCTCCCTCTCTATCGCTCTCTCTCTCTCTCTCTCTCTGTCTCTCTCCCTCTTTCTCTAGTGACACTTCTATGACCCTATACTCTATATTCTCTCTATTTCTTGTCTCTCCACTGTCTCAGCGTATCTATCTGTCTCAAAATCGGTATTTTTATACCTGCCTAAGTCTATTTACCTAGTCTGTATACTAACCATTTTAATCATAGTAAATCTCATTTCTGCAAATAGCTCACACAATAAATCACAATTAATATGGGGTGCTAATGATGATTTCTTGGCTGTTCGTTTACCTAGGTACCTACCTACCTTCGCTGGGCATTAGCAGAACTATGTAATTTGATTTCAATTAAACGCATTTAGTTCGAGTAGATTAAGCCGCAGAGCGTCAAATGCGCAATTGCTAATGAGTTTTTCTTTGGTCAGTTCAGCTGCTCGTCAATGTCAGCTGCGTTGAGCTAATTAAAACATAAACTGTTCCCTCAGTTCGCCGTTTCGTTCACACAATTACATGGACTTGAGTTAGTTGTTGCCAGCAACTGATTAAATTTGAGCCTTTTATTGGGTGTTTTTGGGTGGCTAACTGGTTGGATGTTTGGGTAGGCGGCTTACGCTGCTCGATCCCAATTGCCTGCAGCCAGAAGGCAGCCAAGGTCTTTGCTCTGCTTCAATGCGCTTTCAACGCCCGTCCCTGTGCCGATTTCATTAATTATTCAGGGCACAGTACGGTCCGGTCTCCAGCTGCCTGCTGGCAGTCATCTTCTGTCCGATATCCGGAGAGCTCCAGCTGCATTTGATTTAACAGGCAAACGTATTAGCTGGCACTTTTCAACAATGTCAACCGATGCCAACTGATGTCCATTGAAGCTAAACGAAATATATACATACATATATTGTTTAGCTTTAATCGACTTGCCCCCCAGCCAAGATTCATGCTCAATTAGCTTTGAATAACGCTTAGTCTTATCAGAGCAACATTAGCAAAATATTCCAATAGATACTTAAAAGCTTTGAGCATTTTTGTAATGAAAATTCGCCTATTAGCTTAAGCGAAGTTATTTGCATAGCTAAACTTAGTTAGCTCGAGTAGCAATTGAAATTGAATTAAAATCGAGAGGGCAATTAGGGCATATTCCAAATTTATAAAACCCATTACGCTGTTTAGAGCTTGCTGCTGCCTCTGGGAATCGCAGATTAATAAATTCCAAAAATAAAATCCGAACCACAGAGGCAAAGGCACGCACATTATGATATATAGGAACAGTATATATACATATATATTTAATTATATATATCCGGCTCGTACATTCCATGAATGTATCTAAATTATGTTTGGCTTCCCACATGGCAAATAGGCTGCAAATTTTCTGTTTGCCAACCACGAGAACAAATTGTCAATGCAAATTTCAGCCAATAAACCAGAAAGAGAACATGTGAAATATACAATTGCTATTGCTATTTTAGTATGCCGCCCGCATAGGACTCTATTCCACGGGGCATCACGGATTTCATCACGCCCCGCTCGTAAAATTCGAACAATCTCACGCACAGCATCAGCCTACGCATCTGCGTTTAGTTTAGTTAGTATATATGCACATAAGCGTGTGTGTGTGTGTATATATGGGCTGCTACTATTTTAATGCATGAGTAAATGTGTTTTGGCATATGAATAGAGATTTCAGGTTCATAAAATGCAGAGCTTATTGGATTGGACTGCAGAGCGCACAGTGTGCCTCATTTAAGTTATCTGAGTGCAGAAATTTGCAAATTATAAATTGAATATACAGCCATAAAAATTGAAAGTGATTTGTTGTTGTAAACTAAAGAAAATGAAGTTGATCTAAATATAGTTTTACGCATTCTAATGTGACATATAGCAAGTTATCGATAATACTCTGTATTATGCGTGCAAAATAAGTAAATTACGGTTTTATATAATTAGATTTATTTTCCTCATATTTATTATTTATTAAACTTATTAAACAGTCATATTAATATTTCTTTATTTAAAAGTAAATTACCATTCAGAGTAACATTTTGTTATAAGCATTTTAATTCTCTTAGTAAAATGAAAAAACTAACTGAAAGTTCTTATATCGATAAGTAGTTGTTATAAATCGAGTGTTAGTAAGCGTTATATGAATCAACTAATTAAAACTCTTTGGTTTGTCATGATGCTCAGTGTTATCGATACCTATGGTTATTGATAAACATGTAATATTGATATAATAATTATTATTACTTAATTTTGCTAATTTGCTAATGAATTAAGACTCTTAGTATTGTTATAACGCTCAGTGCTATTGGTTTCGAATATTATCGGTAAATAATCGATAATCATTCTTTTTTCTTACTATTCATCAATCTCTGTTATATAATTATCGATCGATATTATTGATATTTATTTATTACGTTTCTAATCAACTATGCAGCACAGTTTACTCAAATCTTGAGCAATACTTAATATCCATTATCAAAAGTAAGAAAAACTATATACATATATCGAGAGCATGAACCATTAAATACTATGTGTTGGCTGCCCCTTGAGCCAAATTAAACTTGCCACCGGCCGGAAGCTGCTATAAAACGTTGCAAATTGCATTTGACATTCGTTTAATGGGAAATGGAAGCTGTTGATAAGCAAAAATGCTGTTTGAGGTCGACTCTTGCTGCCGCAGCAAGTTTCCCGCTGCTGCTGCATACTGCCTGCTATCAGTTACGTCCCAGACCTTGGACTTGTGCTCATAATTAATTACAACCTCGTGTATATACATATATATATATATATATGGCAGCAAGTAGCAGATAGTTGAGGACGTGGCATAAGAGGTCCTTCAGTTGGCTTTTTCGTAACTTTTGGTAGCTGTCATTAGTCAATTTCTTGTTGTTGCTTAACTGTGCTTTTTCCTCCGATTTTTGCACCGGTTTTTGCATCGTATTTTTCCTGGAATGTTGATTTTCTATTTTTGTTCAGTTCGTCTGTTCCTTTAATTAAAAGTTGCGGCAAATTTTTGCGGTTTAATATTTACCTGTCTRTTTGTTTGTTTGCTTATTTTGCTATCCTGCTTTAGCCCCTGCACAATTTGGCATACCTGTTCGTGGTTATGCAACACAATTTGTGCGACGCACAAGTGCAGAGGTTGTGCGGCTTTTTGTGTCTCGTGCATTTGAACTATGTCATGTGACATGTGCTTGACACATAAGCCCGAGAGCTTTTCTATAAATAATAAAATAAGATTTTAACAATATTTGCTTGCAGCGCAGAGCATTTTTTTTTGCTTTACTAAATATGTTTGATAGATTGCTGACATTTGAGAGTAAAGGTTATGCTTGCAAGGCTGATGATGTTGATATAGCATTTTTAATGCATTTTCCCATTAACTTTGTCCTCTCTCTTACAGTTGACTACAATTAAGAGCTTTTAAAATTTTTATTTATTTCTTGAAGATAGAGTCCCTATTTCTCTTATATTTAAGTCCTTAATATTACCTTAATATTTTCTCTGCAACTTTAAAAGCATCTCTCGCATATTCTGTGCGGCAATTCGACAGCTGATAGAATTTCTATTACCTGCTCTAAAAGCAGTTTTTCTGCTGGCGCCAATTTTCCATTGTTACCTAGATAATTCTCTTCTATCGCAGCTTTTTGCTGACTATTTTTCCCACGCTTCGCTGCGGTCTATTAATATGCATTCGCTGTACACGAAACAAAAGAGATTTTAAATTTTACGGAAGGAAAAAATGCGCTAAGCGGAATAAAATTTAATTATTATTTTGGAGTTGATGCTAGGAGTAATCCATATAATAAAATCATAAAAACGACATTTGAAATGAATTAAATTTCAAATTCAACTTAATTTGCAAAAATATTTTAATAGAGATTAAAATTGTTAAATCGACTTTGAATAAATTTAATTTAGAAATTATATATTTTTATTACTGATGCACATGACGAAATAAATAGAAAATAAACAAAAGACAGCTGCGTAAATTCTTGATATTAATTAATTTTCATCTTATTTCTGCTTTATTATTGTAGCTTCCCGCCAATTACGCCGTAAAGTGCCATACGCTGGCCATTTGATGACGCCGCGTCGCCTCTGGCTCAACAAAATCCCCACACAATGCGATGTGGTCATTGAGTTTCCCGAGGATGCACCAGATGAGGCGCTGCGATGGCTGTTAGCCCGGATCCGCTCGCAGCCGCCAGCTGGTCTCGGTCTGCTGGTGCAAGTTAAGGCTCACGATAGCTCCAGACGCAACGCGTTCTATGTGAGCGCGCCAGTTAATGTGTAAGTGGCGAGAGAGTGGGCTATAAAATTAATTAAGAGAATACATGTACATATATAAGAGTAGAATTTAGTGGAATTAGCTACGAGCACTTCCAGATGGAATATAATGATGTGAAGTGAAGTGTGGACTCCTATGAAGTAAAACTGGGTGACAGATTAGAATAGATCCACAGTTTAAAGAGAAGTCTTTGATTGATAACATTGATAGCTGCTCAATTTAACAAGCAAGAGAGCTTTATTCTGGGCTCTACGCACAGCTGACTTTTCAATATATCGATGTTTATCGATAATAGCTTTAGTGACTAATGAGATTTGGTAGACATAACATCAAGTTACCGATATTTATCGATAATGGCTTTAGTGAGTCTAGATATAACATCAAGTTACCGATATTTTTCGATAATAGCTTTAGTGATTAATGAGATAAGGCAGACAATCTTACATAATTATTGCTATGTATATTCCCTCGGCTTGTCGTCCCCACGCCTTCTTCTGTCTGTTACAAACATCATCACAAAATCTTCTTACTCTAAGCCAGTAGATAGATATTATTTAACATTCAAATCATTTCTCTCTAGCATCAAGGCATAAAATATATATCGAAAATCAATAGTTATAACAATAAAAATTCTCATCTCAAACATAGCCCAAAATTATTTATGATTACTTAAAGCTAGTCTGCAATTCAATTTAGCTTAAATCAAATGAACTTAAAGTCCAATTAACTCTTCTGCCCCGCAGTCTCTTCAAAGCCGCTGAGGAGGCACGTTTGCCGAAACGTTTGCGGCCCGATTTAGGCGGCGCGTTGCGTGAGTTTACGACGCGCGAGAGCCATTGCTTTCAGCAGCTGCGCGGCGATGTGGGCAGCACGGCGTTGTTCACCTCACAGGAGCGCCAGTGGCTGGTGCTGCAGGTGCTGCAGGGTCTGCGTGCCGGCTGCAGCGACATCGATGCGTTGCAAGGACGTGCCGCGGTGGCCGAGGGCCAGAGCATTGTGGCCGCCTGGCAGGAATCGGGTCTGATCACACAGGTTTTTCCCCTGCACGAGCCGCGCTCGCTGGCACAGCTGCAAGCGCAATGGGTTAAGCAAATATTTGCCCCACAACCATTGGGTAAGAGATCAAATATCAAGCTATTCTTGATGTATATCGGTATATATAGGTATATATCTTTGCATATCTTTAACATATCCAAATATCGCTTCAGATGACATCGCCGCCTATTTTGGCGTTAAGGTCGCTCTGTACTTCGCCTGGCTGGGGCATTATACGTGCGCGCTGGGCGTGCCCGCCGTGTTTGGCACCATACTTTATTGCATATTGTGGGGCAAGGGTCAGACGGCGCAGGATATGGGCCATGTGCTGTTCTCGCTGTTCAACGTGGCCTGGGCGTCACTGTACTTGGAAGCCTGGAAGCGCTACTCCGTCGAACTGGCTTTTCGCTGGGGCACGCTCTCAACGCCGCCCGAACTGCTGGAGCCGCCGCGGCCGCTCTATAAGGTGAGTTGTCTAACTGAGAATCGAGAATGAATATGAAATTTACAACTATTTGATGCTTTCAGGGCCCGCTGGAGGAGAACAATGTGACGGGTCGATTGGAGCCAAGGGAGGCGCCCGCCTGGCAGCGTCGCGCCTTTCGCTATTTGGTCAGCTTTCCTGTGATTGGACTGTGCCTCTGTGTGGTCTTTGCTGTTATGTTTCTCATGTTGCGCTTCCAGGTGAGTGGAGCTGTGAATAATGTATAAACATATACATAATATGTCTAGTTCTCGGTTCACCGACTGCTTGAATATTTTTTGCAAGTGGTGAAGTGATGGAGAGAGAGAAAGAAAGTTTTAGATTTGTAATGCGAAAGATATTTTAATTTTAAATTCATTCTTTTTACAAATGAATAAGTGAAGCAAGTATAAATGTAAATTATATTATATTAAAAACTAGCTGAAATGTTACATTAATTAAAGCTCCGTTTAACAAAATTTTATGAAAACATCATGAATATCAAATTTTTGTAGGGAAAATATTTGGTAAAATCATTTTATAAATATAGGGTTTTCATACATACACAAATTCTTTGAAGGATTTATAAAAATATAAACATTTCAAAATATAATTTTTCTAT